TGCATGACACCCATATGAATGTGCTGATCTGACAAGACTATTTAAGATTGATGTTTTGGTTTTGTAGCAATCTGCAGTGTCAGACAAAACTACCTTTGGCACAGTTTATGCTATGTTCAATTTCCTTTTCTCCTATACTAAATTTGTTATAACTAAGCCATCTGTTGAGGTATTTGAAGTGTTTAGTATTTACTAATTTTACATTCTGAATTTTTATGGTTGATTCAGTGTATTTATCATCACAGCTTTCATTCTAATTTCAGATTATAGTTTCTGTTTTGTTCTTATCCCAACTATGAATACCTACATCATCAGCATAGCCTTCTTCTCATTCATCATCATTACATTATCCTTGAGAGAGAAAGTGGGATCGTTGTCTTCTATTGGTAGATTTGTTTGAGATGTGGTATGGAATGCTGAAATGAAAGTGTCCATCTCTTCACATCTGTGTTTGTAAATGTGTAGGGCATTGTCTAGGAAAAGATAAAATAAACCAGGGCTTTCATTTATGTTTCTGTATTGGGGTCCTTATCAGACACAGATTTTGTAGATTGATACAGTTCCTCTATTAGTGGATTCAGAGCTTGGATCACAGTTTCCTATCAGAGAGGTAAGCAAATTCTTGAAGTTATTTGATGACATATATGTCATTGCACCCCTTACCAGAATGAAAACCAAACTGGGTTGTGAGGAGTTGACTTTCATAAAACGATGAGAACCTAGTTTAATATAATTCATCAGTACTCTCACTACGATGGATCCACAATGATACCTCTGTATGTGTGATGGTTTTGAGGGCTACCTTTCTGGATCCATGGTGCATTAATGCATGATAAACCCCATTTTTGGGGGATTCATTTCTGATTCCAGACTTCTTTCATGAAATAGGGAAACTTATTGAATTCAGGAAGAAAGTAAGCTATTTTCAAAAGTTCAACCCCAGTGTAAAGTGATGCTTTATTATTCCTTAGTTTTTTTAATCGCTTTCTTAATTTCCTTATCAGTGTTCATTATTGTTTATGTTTGAGGACAGATTTTGTAATGATTAGATCTATATTGATATATGTTCTATTTCTATGGGCATCCTAGTGATCAGGGTTGAAATATGATTCAAAGTGTTTATTGAGACCGGGGTATTTCTTCTATGGTGGTTTTGATTGTAGGATGTTATTGTGATTTTTCCCTTTTAAACACATTTTAACACATTGTCTATGCTGCTTGACTTCTCCAATTTGCCAGAGTTTTTTTTTTATTATTTTCTTTGTTCATTGATGGTATTTTCATCTTCTGGTTGTTTATTTCGTGTATCAGTTTTCCTTCTAGGTATTCTTGGAGTGGTCTCACATTCTTCGGTTAATGAAGATATAACATTTGATTACTGTCTATGTTTTGATCAAGATTTATTGACATCAATTTGGGCTCTAGTTTATTATTGAATTCTAAATATACCCTTTCATTTTTAAAGGCTTGGTTGTTCTATGTTCTCAATGTTTTTCATGGTTTATGTGGGCAGAAATGAACTATTTTGTTGACTGGTGTTGTCAGTTTAGTTACAAGTAGTCTGTGATCAGGTTCAAACTAGGAGTTGTATGCTCAAACATCTGAGACAGTGCCTAATCTTTGAGTCTGAGATGCTGAAGTCAATCTTTTTTGTTACATTATCTGAGTTATGCCATGTGATGTGCTGTTTTATATAAGTAATTTTAAAAAATAACTGAATATATTAAAAATGAAATTTAAGTTTATATTTATCTTTGTAAATTCATAATTTATATAAAACTAATCTTTTTCCTCCTCATTTTGGTTGAAAAGGGATTATCTGATAAACATTGTTATTTTCCAAGTTATAATGTGTACACATTATAACTCGGAAAATTCTTTTTTCTTTTTTTTAACAAACTCATATCTTGTTGATTTTGACAAAAGATTCATTATTTGAATATTTTGCTTTCACTTATTGGTCAATTTATTTCATATCATATGACTTATTTTTCAAGTTTCTTCTCAAAACATTGAATTTACTAAATGCAAGAATGCTGTTCTCAAATAAGGAAAAGTTCTGTAAACTTATCAAAATTGTTGCAATTTTCAAAACTAGAATCTTTCTATTTTTTCTTTCCTTTCTATGAAAATAAGTAATTTTTGCTAAATTGAAACCTTTTTAAATTATTGATTATGGCAAATTTTTCCCCTATTTAATTTTCACCCATAAATAAAACTAATTCTTTTAAAATTAAATATGATGTTTGTCTCAGAATATTACCACTTGAAACACATTACATAAAATCTTTATTAAAATAATTTCTTGGCCTAACTTATCAAAAGGATGCAGGAAAATTCTCACTCAAACCAAGAAGGCATTCCAAAAATAAATTTTGATGTTTAGATGTTTAGTTATTTCAGTGTTTCTCAACCTTTTTAAGCAACAACACACCTAGGAGGAGCAAATGAAAATATTACAACACACTTAGCAAAATTTTTAAAGTATATAAATTTAAATGTTATGAAATAAAACCATAGATTTAAAAAAAAAAAAAAAAAAATACACACAAATATGACCTTACTTTATTCTAATGTTTCTATTCAACTATTTGTGCAGCTTAGCGTGAAACCTGTGCCTGGTGTTTTTTCGCAATTTTGTGGCTCACTTAAGAGGATCGCACAGGACGCTAGTGTGCCATGGCATGGCAGTTAAGAATCACAGTGTTATTTGGTCAGATTTTACAGAGTAGGTCAGACTAAAAACGTTTCACCCCCACCCCCTTATAAATGCAGTAGCAACCGTTATAGTAGTAAACACAGTAGCTTTGTGCAAATTTCTGTACCAATAAAATTTACATATTTTAATCAAAAAAAATATTTGGCAAATATTTTCTTTTTCTATTTGGAAATTTTGTGAAAGATTCGGGGAAAAAATTTGTTTGTCTTATCAGTAAATGCATTTATTTTCATTTTTCTTCCATAAATTTGAATGAATGAAATCCTATAAACCATAAGGCAAAAATAAAACAGTCTCCAATATTTTTTTAAGGTTACTATTTATAAACTTTTCTACTTTAAATAACCAATTTTAAAAACTCTATTGTGTACATTCATAAGAAGGCTACACTATGTCCTAAAAAAATCTGCAAGAATAAAACATCCATAAGTTTATAAATTTATTTTTTGTATTGCAATTTAAAGCCATTGATTTAATTTCTAAAATAAAACTAAAATTTCTTTGATAGCCTTTTTCTTTTTTAAGTTTCAATAAAAGACAATTTGCTTGAAATGCTAAACATTTCAAGCTATATATGTGCAATATTGTATCAGTTATTAATTGTAACTTTTGTTTTATTTCAAAGATATTTTACTTGTAAAATAAGAGCAAGAGGCTTTTACATTGATACATATAAACACTAGAATATTTGTTTGTATTTGGTTAGTGGTAGGAATAAAAGCAAATATTGACTTTGGATTTCTACTCATTGATTTTATGCTGAAAAAATTATTGATGAAAAGATGTCTCCAATATTTTTTTTTTTTTTTTCCTCTCTATTCTTGTTGATCTATATCTTGTCTTCATCAGTCTCTAATATTTCTTTCCTCCAAACTTTCAGACTTACCAACAACTCCAGGTGTAATTTTCACTTCATCAAAAACCATTGAATTCAGTTGTTCTCATGTTGGTTTAGTTATTTTAAGCTTATCTAAAGGTTTTTTTTTTTTTAGTATTTCTTCATAAAAGTTCTTTTAAGGAAAATTTAAATGTTGCTTTAAATGATTTTCATTTTTACTGCTACCATGGAGATTTTTTCTTTTCTCTTTCTCTATGTATTTATGTAACAGCATAAATTAAAATTTGCATATTTTTATATTTTGTTTTAAAGGATTTTAATAACTCAGAAAATTTCAAATTGATGCATTGTTTTCAGTATTTTTAATATTTTTATTGTTATTGTGTTATTTCAAATGCTGGTATAGATTTACCCAAAGTAAATCTGTATGTCTGGTCAAAATTTACTAAATTTTTTTTTTTTTTTTTTTTTTTTTTTTTTAATTTTAACTCTTTAAGGTATGAATTCTTACTACAAGAAGCAACTAATATTCCATTCGTAACATACACTTGATATTTTCCATAAAGAGTATCCCTATAAGATTTCCTTATTAGCCTTTTTTTTTCTTTTATTATTATTTCACATATTTTGTTGGTTATGAGGAAGTATATGACTATATGGTCCATTAATATGACTAGTGATGTTTTGTTTTTTTCCAAATATTTCAACATTAAATATTGGCTAAAAGAGAAATAGGATACTCTTGTACATTGTAAGTAGCCATAATTCCACATAGATGATTCTATATAACTGGTATATTTTATTAATTGACTTATATATGACTTCATATATTGATTTCAGTTTATTGTCATTTTTCTTTTTTAATACATAACTGTGTCCAATGCATTATCTTCCCCACATTTTTTTTTTTTTTAATTGTACTTTTCAATTTATTCTGATAATAAGATTTTGGTTCAATTTTTAATTCTTAATGAAATTTTTAATAACAGGTGTGGAGAAATGAATTAGAATTACATGGTCAGAGTAGAATGTACTTTCTAAATGTGCACAATAAATTGAACTTGGGTTTGAAAAAGAATGTTCTTGCCACATTTCACTTGGTACAAAAAATATTGTAATGCACTTTTTATTTTTATTCTTATCAGCAAGAATATTTTTAGTCATTGAAAAAAAATTAAAATACTAAGTTTTTGCTAAACAAATTTATCTAAATATGTATATCGCCATAAGTTGTTAGAAATGTGTGATATTGATTTGTTTTTATAGTTTCTAATCTTATACGTATTATCTGCCTATATTAATTCATAATCTATATTAATCATGAAAACTTTTTTCCTTTCTTTTTTTTTATGATTTTCTTTCATTTAAAAGCATCCTACTTGTCTTTTGAGGATGTTTTTAAATGGGATTTGTTTTGGCTTTTCATTTTTGTTTTATAAACAGGGATTTAAATAAATTACCCCAAGTACCTCAGCCACAAAGAATGGGTGGCCCCCCACCCAAAAAGTTGTGCCAGGACTTTCAAGAATTTGCAACTCCTGTTTCTACAGGAATCAGAAGAACATTGGTTACACTCTCTGATAATTCTTCTCTCACCAATAATACTACCCAACAGCCACGCAGAGTTCCTCCTCCTACTACTACTTCTTCTGCTGTTGCTGCCTCGGCTGCCAGTGCTGCTGCTGCTGCCGCCGCTGCTGCTGCCAAACCATGTCCACCATCTCAAAGAGCTGCTATCAGATCAGCCACTGGTTCACCACTGAGTAAGCTTCAGAAATCTTTTTAATCCTAAATTTTGAAATATTTGCTTACTTTTATGCTAGTATCAAATGAAGATTTTTTAGCAAATAAGAATTCTTTTTTTTTTTTTTTTCTTTTTTATGATCAAATTACTTTTCTTTTTTTTTCATCAATTGTCAGATTTTCAAATCATAAATACATTTTTATAAACTTATAATTTTTCACATTCACTCTTTGCTTATGGCTATCTGTTTAGCTGAATATTAACATTTGAATTGTTAATCAAATAAATCATCATAGATTTTTAATAGAAATTTAATCTTTTCTAACAAAATTTATAGATTTTTTAAAAACTTGTGTGTATAAAATAGAAACTTTTTTTTTCTTAAATATCTCATTTCAGTTTTGTATTTTTCACAGCTTTAAGTTTTTTTCTTCTCTCTATCCTACTGATGAAAAGGGTGGTTCTTTACTTTTACTCTTAATCTAAAATGATAATACTGTTAAAACTTTCAATTATTGTTTTCTTAAAATAATTTCTTTAAGCATGCAAGGATTGTTTTCTTTCTTTCAAAATTTGAATATAATCATTATAGAAGATTTTAATTTTTTGTTACCATTTTTTTTTTTTTGTTTATTATAAATTATTGCAAAAAGTGTAATTTTTAAAAAAAAAATGTTAGTTTCTATAGAATTTTGCTTAGCTATACACTTTTTTCCTCTCTGTTCTTTTATTTCAAAATCTAAAAATTATTTCATTTCACTTATTGATTGCATTCTTATTTCGTTTTCTGGTGATAGGAAAATAATAATAATGTTAAACAGATAGCCTTACTAACAATCAATGGTTTATTTTTAAAATACATTTTGCAATGGTAAAATTAGTTTGGTCCTGTAGAATTTTTTTTCATTTTTAAAGAATTTTTATCATACAAATTGGGGAAAATATTTTTTCTGATAAATTTTACTTTTTGCACCAAAATCTTTTTAAAGGTACAGATTTTTATTTGATACTGCTTTTTAAATTTTTGAAAGAATTTTTCTTGATGTTTTTTATTTTTTATGTTGATGTTTTGTGGATTCATGTTACTTTGATAATTGGCTTGTTAATGTATTTGTTTCCATGTATTAATGAACTTGAGTATTTTTACTTTTTAGCTTCTAATTGTTCCATTATTAAATTTTGTTACTACAAATATTTTAGAAGTTTTTTCTATTAAACACAACTTTTATTTATTTATTTTTTTTTTCTATGATGGTAGACTTATTTTGAATAATTTTTATTAATAATTTTCATCTATTTTGTCGAGAAAACTTGACACCGCCTGTTTTATGAGTATTGAATAATATGTGATGCATATTATGATGCAATAACTCTATCGATGTTAAATCTGGTTTTAGGATTACTGAAATTTTCATAATTAAATATTTTTCCAGATTTTTATCTATCACAACTTTTTTATTTTTCAAATATTGATTATTGTTTTATTTAGTATAAACTTTTTCTTAAGATATGTTAAGGCAGTTCTACCCTAAGTAGAAACAGTTTTTGCCTGAAAATTTTATTTTTACTATATATTTTTTTATGCTTTGTTCTCATTGATTTGTTTTTTGTTTTTTTTTTTAGTCAGATAACAATTTTTTTTATTAGTTTATTTATAAATTAGTTCATTCTACTTTCAAAAAAAGCTTGTCATTATTTTTATTTTTTTTTTTTTTTTTTTTTTGTTATGATTGCAGTTTTTAAGGCATTACCTTGAATTTGACTTTGTTTTTATTTTTCCACTGTATTCATAATGCTTTGTTCTTCTTTCACTGTCTACAAGCATCACTTGATATATGTTGAAATGTAAACCCAATTTAAATACTGATTTTAGAATGCAATTATTTTATTTGTTTTGCTTGCATCTTTATTACTGTATTTCTTTTGCAATTGTATACTTTTAAAATATTGTTATTGACACGTGACATTTTTAGACTTTATTTACAAGTGGTACTGAATAGTTCTTAAACATATCAAATAACCAAGCATCGAGTTTCTGTTAGGGAAAGGAGGGTTTTTGGTCAGGCCAAGAACTTTTCAGCATCCACTTGTAAGTTATTACAAATTGGGATCTGTTTCTTTCTGCTTCTTACTACCTGAATAGAGACAAGACCAAAAAAATATATAAGTAAAAAAAATTAGGACCTTTTTTTTTTTTTTTTTTTTTTTTTTTTTTTTTTTTTTTTTTTAGCTGAATTTTAATAATTGTAATGTGTTGAGGATTTTACATTTTCTTGAGACTTAACACATCAAAACCTTAGAACTCCAACTAGGCACTAAGTGATAAATCATACTCTGGTTAGTTCAAATGCATTTTGAAATTTATTCATATTCATTGTTAATCATTTTACAAATCAAATCCTGCGATTCTTTTTAGTAGATGCTCTTAGCTTTCCTCCTTGCTATCTTTTTTTAACTTTTTAATTTAATACAAAAACATAATTTTTTTTTTTTTTTTTTTTTTTTTTTTTTTGACAGCAATATTTTTTTTTAATCTTATGTAAAGAAAACAAAAACTGTTGCCAATCCAGCTGGCTATTTTGATGTGCATAAATTGGTTTTTAATTTTTCTAAACCATTTTGTCTATTTTCATTGTTTTTCTTCTATATAAAAGGAAACTGTTTAACCAATTTTCATAAGCACACAAAAATGGCTATTAATAAAGTCATCAGTGGATTTTAAACTTTTGTTCTTTACCTTCATTAAATATACAGAAATTTGAATTGTCACTCTCCCCCACTTAAAGTTATGCATTTTAATTTTGCTGACATGTGCAAGGTATGCTGCACAAAGTGAAAAGATAGAAGAAATCTTTAGAACAATTTAATAAGACATTTAGCTATATTTCAGTTGTGGGGATTTTCAAAAGCTCAGTTGTTTTTTTTATGTTTAACTTTCTTCAAATCTACAATATTTTGTAAAAGTTTTCCTTTTTCTCTTATTAATTTCAAACTACATTAGTCAGTGATTATGAATTCTGTATTTTTTTCTTTTGTCTTTTTTTTTTATTACCTCATAATTTTTTTGAAATTGTTTCTAAACTGAAAAATCATCTGAAAGGAACTAATTATTATCTAACAAAATTGTCAGAGATTTAGATAAAATAATTTCCAATCCTACTATTTTTTTTTACAATGTATTGTTAGAACTTTTTTATAAAGAGTTGGGTACTATGCTAGTATTTTTATAAAATTTATAAAAAAAAAAAAATAAGAGACAATGTTTTGGGTGTCTTTTGTCGTTCACTGTTTATAACAAATTGTGTTTAATGTAATACAGCATCATAATTTCTATTTAAAAATTTATATCTATTTAGTTTAATTATCCTTTTATGTAAAATAGGATTTTGTGTTTTGTTTGTTTAAAAACTTAGTAGTCTACAAATAAAGCTGCCATGAGATCTTTTGATTTTTTAATTTTTTTCTACAGTTTTTCATTAGGCTTAATTTACAATGCTTAAAGCAGGAAAAAAATTCTTTATACAAATTGCAATGTCATCTTCTCTGTCTTTCCTCAATAAGGCATTTTATTTTTTGCAATCTGAGTAGCAAAATACCAGCCATGGAGCCCTGCTTACATACATACATACATACATAAATAATGTGTAGATAAAATCTGGTTTTATTTGCATCTTTAATTTTTCCAAAATTTTTATTAATATTATTTCTTAAAGAACTGATTACATTTGCTAAAAAAATGATTTACAGTTAACTTTAGTCCCTTCCTTTATTTTCTATTAAATTTTAGTTTATATGTAACAAGTGAAGATTTGAATTACAATTGTGTAAGCTTTTCATTATTATTTTTATTTTCTAATAATCAATAGAATTGACCACCCATTCATTTTTGAACACCAGTTGCTGGATTTTGATTGGAAATAAGTTTTGTTAATTTCAGTCATTCAGATTACTAGATTATGAGACTTAGGAATATTTAATGTTTTTGAATTTTGTATAATTTCAAAAACCTTCAAAACATCATGATTTTTTTTTTCTTTTTCTTTTTCTAAGATGTGCTTTCAAAAACTTTTTAGGCCACAAAAGGAAATATAAATGGCATAATTCATTATTTTGAAGGAGAGAAAAAACTTTTTTAAAGAGTGCTTTTTTTCCCCATTTATTGTAATACTTTTTTTTTTCCTTTGCTAATAGTTTCCTCCCCCACATTTTTAATAAGATCTACAAAAACTGTTTATTTTATTTATTTTTAAATCTTGCAAATGAGTTTTGTTCAATTTATCTATTGGTTACTATCAAACATTACTCCCACAAAATTGTGTGTATCCAATAATTATTTTTTGTTTTTATGAAAAATTCCAACATTTGGGAAGAACTATTTGTAGATTTTCAATTTTCCAAAGTGTTTTTGAAAGCTTATTATTATTCCATATTGCTGTGAACCTAAGTTTTTCTACCTGCTTCTGCTTTGCATTCCTCTTAGCATCCTTTGCAGTTTTTTCTTTTTTTTTTTTTTTTTTTTTTTTATCTCTCACTTTTTCTTCTCATAAAACACCTGATGTTCACATGACATGCGGAGATGTTTTTAAGTCTTTCAGTCTAAATCTGCAATTTTTGTTTCAGGCTTTCTTTTTTTTTATATTTCTTTTCTAGTTTCATAAAATGACAAAATGCATTGCTTTTTGTTAGATTTTAGTTTAGATTTTCTTGTGTGTTTGTTTCTCTTGTGACAGTTTTTAAATTTTGTTTCTATTTTTAGTTTACTCTCCATTTTATTTTTCTATGTACCCCTTAGCTTTAATCTGCCTTGGCTCACTAAGATTTCTCTCTTTCTTATTGAATTTGTAAAATAGTTTTTTATTTCTTTATTCTTTCTATAATTTTCCTTGTCAAAAGGGAAATTATTTAATCCAATAAAATTTTGCTTTATCCTGCAACAGGTGCAAGTATTGGTGGACTTTGTTCTGTCAGGCCATTTTAAATACTGCCTAAATACATTTGCAGGTAACAAAAACAAATCCCTAATGTTGATTTTTTTTTTTTTATTAATGGAAGTGAAAATGGTGTTTTAATTTTTTTTGCATTACAGGTAACCAAGACATTTTAATATGTGGCGTTTGCAAGCTAGAATTCACTAATCTGCATACTCTTGCACAGCATAAGAAATTGCCGTGTAAATTACGATTCAGTTGCCAGTGTCAGAAAAATCCTCAACCTGGTAAGTAATAACCCCAGCTTCTGTCACCTATTTGCTTCTTGACTATGTTTTTGTGGGGATTGAAAACTGTCTAGTCCTTCCATTTTGATGATTGGTAATTCAATCGTATTTTGGGAAGTGGATTCAACTGAGAACCATGATGATAACTATATACTTTATCATTAATATCCGCTTAAGGAATGGTCTTTATCATCAACTGATCTTTTGACAAAGTTTGATTGTAGGAAATTGGTTTTGTTTGCTGCTTATTTTTTTCTCTCTCTTTTCTTATTTAGAACCAGAACAAGAAGCCTTGATGCTTAACTGTGCAACATGCAATATGACTTTCTTCTCAGCTTGGAGTTTAGTGCAGCACTGCCAATCTGAACATAGCCTGGCTATATTCAAAGATGGCCGACAAATTGTAAGTCAATTCTTCCACATAGCTTTTGTCACTATAAGATGTCTTACAGTTTTATTCACAAATAATATCAATTAACTGCAAAATGGAATAGAAATTATTCAATACGTGAGAATTAAAATAAAAAAAAAAAAAGATTCTAAGAAAGCAACTATTATGTAAAAGTTAAATAAAGTATTTATTTCTGTATTTTCCATTTATTTTACATTTTGTTTCTTCTAGTTTTTCTCAAATTGACAGCTTAATTTAGTAGAAATTAAAATATTTGATGATCTCTGATTCTTACAATAAGCTTTTCAGATTTCTATATGATGGACAGATGTCAATAGTCTATCAACCTCTACAGCACTATCTGTAAAGTGACATAATTCGGTCAGGGTTGAAATACTTAAAACATTTTATAAAATAGTTAACAGGAAGGAATCCAATAATTTATTTCATTTTTTTTTTCTACTTTTTAAATTGCCCCATGTAAATTAAATGAAGTTTATTTATGGTTATTGCATATTTTGTTTGATTCTAAACTTTATTTTTGTTGTTTCATTTTCTGCTTGTAGTTAGATGATTCTAATGGCACAACTGTGAAGATTGAGTTAGCATCAAATGACACATCTGCACAGAACTCTTCAAACTCGGATGTTAAACAAGAACCCAAGGAATAACACAGCAATTGGTGAGTAATCATCACTCACTACCATTCATTATAAGAAGGCATAGAAAATAAAGTTGCTAAAACCTTGACACCTTGGAGCACAACAAAAATGATGTTGTTATATATATTTTTTCCAAGAGGATAGAATCCAAGTAGAGCTCAGTCCAAGACAGAGCAAGAATATAATATAAAAGGCTCAAATGTAATAAATTATAACCATGGAATATTAGTGGTTGAGCCTTTTATTTATTTATATATATGAGAGAGAAAGAGTTTGGATCAAAAAGACAAATAGACAAACACACACTTTGGAATCTATATTATCATCTGAATCTCAGATAGACAAACTCAAATCATTATACACTTACATGCATAAAGCAATATGTGTTGTTTCTCAGTTAGTCTTGGAATCTGTTAATTTTTAAAGGGACATGTTGTTTCTCTTTGAATTTGGAACACCGTAAATTATACTAACATTTGTTTAATAAGTCAAATGCATGCAAAATGTGATTAACCAATGAAAGTCAAGCAGCACAAAACTAGAGATTCCAGAATTATTTTCTTCTTTTTCACCATATCTCATTCTCTCATGAAAGTCAAACGTTAGATTGATAAACATTTCTTATTTGTTTTTTCTTCATATATATATATATATATATATATATATATATATATATATATATATATATATATATATATATATATATATATATAAATAATATTTTTGTTTAAAAATGATTCCTTCAAGCTACATAAGAGTTCTCATGTTTCAAAAACGAGAGCCGAAACCATCCAAATAATTATTAAGATTAAGTTGAATTGAGGTGTTTTGTCCCGTTTCATCCTCAAGCGAAATTTTAGGAATAAGCTATCTCTCGGTTTACCTGTGTTTTTAGGCACGGTCCATTACAAAATTTGTTATTGTGGGAGTGGCTAGACTATTTTTCTACGTTAAGTGGTCAGAGAGTTACTTCTTATCAATAGATTCATCATCTTCAGAGAGGTTTTGCTAAGGTTGGGTAGGGTATCTATTTCAAGGCTAATGTTTGCGGTCACCCCTTAGTTGGTTCCCAGTGAGGGATATTTTTATGGCGCGCCTACAAGTCGTTATGTGTCTGGAGAATTGTCTTTTATTATTGTCCATACAAAAAATTGCAAAAGATTTAATATGGGTTTAATCAATGTTACACCTCTAGATTCTAGAAGAATTCAAAATGGCATTGAAAAATGAAAGTTTATCCTCATTCCAGAGCAATTTCCAGCTTAAGATACCGAAAATAACAGTTGACAAGTGTTTACTTGTAGCAACCATCTCAAGGCGACAGAATGCGCCTAGAGCTGCAAAGGGAGAGAATTCTATGGCAACAATTTTCGCCTACAGTGTGGTAAATGTTAAGATGTTTTTTGTTTTGTTTTTTTAATACTAATAGGAGCATTTATTCCAAGCTTTGCATGTTGAGCATAGCTGGAATTCAAGAGAGTGTCTTCTATTTTTTTTTTTTTTTTTTTAAAAAAACTTGCAACACACCATTTCCATTGGTGAATAATGGGAAATTTATACTGTTAGCAAGGTTTTTTATATACAGTGCCTCTCTCACAGTGAGATGTTTCTTAGTAATGTGATTTATATAAAATGTTAGTGTTTTTATTCAATTTTGCTTATATATATATATATATATATATATATATATATATATATATATATATACACACACACACACACACACACACAAAATCCACTTCAAAAGTATTAGAATGCCAAGACCAAATTCCTATGTTCTTGTTGTTCACTGAAGACATTTGGGTTTAAGATCAAATGATGAATATGAGACAAGTTCAAAATTTCAGCTTTTATTTCCTGATATTTACATTTAGATGTGTTAAACAGCTTAGGATGACATACCCACCTTTTGTAGCAGATCACCCCATTTTTAGGTGAGCAAAAGTAAAGGAACAGATAGTTTTATAGTAAATAACATTTAATATTTGGCTACATCACCCTTACTTGGAATAACTTCATCAAGCCTGCAACCCATTGACATTGTGAAACTGATGCATTCTTCATTTGTGATGCTTTTCCAAACTTTTAAAGCAGCCTCTTTCAGTTCTTTTTTTGTTTTGGGGTGTTTTTACCTTCAGAAATTAAATGCATGCTCTATTGGGTTATGGTCCAGTGATTGACTTGGCCAGTCTAAAACTGTCCACTTTTTTCCCTGATGAAGCCCTTAGTTGTGTTGGCAGTATGTTTTGATTTATTGTCCTGCTTCCTCACAATTAGTTTGGATGCAATTCTCTGTAAATTGGTAGACAAAATGTTTCTGTAGAGTTCTGAATTAATTCTGCTGTTACTGTCATGAGTTACATCATCAATAAATAATATAAATGAGCCTGTTCCTGAAGTTAGCCATGCAAGCCCAAGACAAGACACTGTCTCCACCATGCTTTACAGATAAGTTTGTATGCTTTGGTTCATAAGTAGATACTTTCTTTCTCCACACTTTAGCCTTTCCATCACTTTGGTAGAGATTAATTTTAGTCTCATCGCTCCATAAAACTTTCTTTCAGAACTTTTGTTGCTCATCTCTGTACTTCCTTGCAAATTCCAATATGGCCTTCCCATTCTTACTGCTGATAAGTGGTCTGCATCTTGTGGTATGGCTTCTATATTCCTGCTCTCAAAGTTTTCTTCAAACAGTGAATTGTGAAGCCTTCACCCCTTTACTGTGGAGGTTGTTTTTGATGTCCCTGACTGTTGTTGGGGGGGGGGGTTGTTCCTCACAGCTCTCACAGTGTTTCTGTCATCAGCAGCTGTTGTTTGCCTTGGCTGACCAGTTCTATGTTTGCTGCTCAGTACACTAGCAGTTTCTTTCTTTTTCAGGGCATTCCAAATTGTGTTGGCTATGCCCAATGTTTGTCCAATAGCTCTGTTTGATTTTCCTTCTTTTCTCAGCTTCAAAGTGGCTTGCTTCTCTCCCAAAGACAGCTCTCTCATCTTCATGTTGACATTCTTTTTAACAAGAAATACAGTCTTTACAGGTGAGGCCAAAGGCTAAAACCAAGCATAGACATTCAGAGCTATTTAATGTTTAAACAATCAATCTGGTGATGGACTGTGTCTCAGCTGACAAACACACAAGCCAACAAAATGGTGTGTGGTTCATGGAACGATATCACTTTAATACAGCAGTAGTGAGCTGCAGCATAAACAATAGAGATGTGCGGTTTAACTGAAAAACCAACTTTTTTTCGGTTTCATCTTCACACCATGAAATCACATCAAATTTTTTTACGAAACCAAATGATTTCAGTTTCATTTTTATATCATTACTGAGTGACAATATCCAAAGAAACACTATTGAAAAAGACTTTCAGATGTTAATAAAATTAAATTTTATCCACATTTATGCCATTGTAAGAAAAAAAGATTGAACAAAAATGTTAAAAACATTTAATTGACTAGTTTTAGGAAATAAATATCAAATCTATTTATTTACAAAAGAAATGAAGAAAAAAAAGGAAATATGACAGGTTGTCTGAAAGTGAAATCTATTTGTTTCAGTTTTTAAAAAAAAAACTTTTTGCAGTAAAATTAAGTTAACAACAAAATAGCAAGTAAAATAAAAATAAAAAAAATAGTTGCCAGGTTCAGTTTAATGTTAAATTTTATGAAATTAGGTTTTCTGTAAGGGTTTTCTTGTAAGCCATTACACCAATCACGAAATAAAGTTGTTGTAAACACGAAAAATGAATGAAGATTTATATATATATAACAATTTGTTTTTTATCCAGAGAATGCAACTAAATTAGATATGAAGAATAATTAAAATAGTTCTTAATTTCACTTTTAAAGATGTGTATATTTCCAGATATGCGAGTCTCTGTTTTCTACAAATAAAATTGTTTATATCTAGCGAATATATGTAAAATTAGATATTAAAAAAATAAAGTAAGTTTTAATCTCAATTTTGAAATGTGTATATTTTCAAAACTGCAAGTCATTTTGCTTTAAACCCAAAGTAAAAATTACTCCTTTTTTTTTTTTTTTAAACCACTAATGTTTGATGGGTGTTTGTTACTATTCTGCCTATAAAATTCTTCTAAACAAGGAAAATTAATTCATTTTATTTTTACAAATATGTTTATGGTTTTATCTGGTGAATAATACACTTAAGTAAGATTATATTAAAATGATTAAAATAGTTTTTAATTTCAGTTTTGAAAAGTGTATCTTATAAAAGAACAAGTGATGCTCGCAGATTTGGAAATCTACACATTCTAAAAATGAAATTAAGAGCTTTTAATTATTTTTAATATTTAATTTTAGGTGTATTCACTATATAAAAACATAAATTTATTTAGGGTAAAAATAACTTGTTGATTTTCCTTATTTAGAAGAAATTTATTTGCAAAACCCCAATAATAGTTGACTGGCATACCAAAAAAGAATTGCCTTTTTTTTTTTTTTTTTTTGTTGCTTACTTTATGATTATTGAAGGAATTCGCTTTCTGGGGTCATAGAGAAAATGAAGGGGTTGGGGTGCTGTGCACAGCTAACCCATTTAATATACAGTGGGTGCTGTTGAAAAGTGTCCTTAGGCCAAAAACTTTTCAATACCCCTTCATGGACCTGTTAGATTTGATGAACATGATTTTTAAACTCAAGGCAAGGTTTTATTTCTTGTTTGTTATGAAGAAATGTTTTTTTTTAGGACCCTTTGCCATTTATAACTGTTCAGTGTAAAACCGTAATTTAACTTCTATTATTAGTGTCAAGTGTCTGAATTTCTGGGATGAGGAGTTATCATTATTTACACTAGACTATAGTCCTCATCATTTTCGTTATCATGTTTCGACCATAATAGTCCAAATGTAAATAGTGTAAGTAATGCCAAGCAATTTCACACAATTGCAGTAAACAAAAGGCAAGCCTGTGAATGATAAATTTTTCTTTGACAACAAAGATTGCAAAAGCAAAAATTTCTTAGTTATTTCATTTGTTTTTCTTTAATATAAGAATTTATGTGGGACAACAAGAGTTGTTTGTCATAATCACCTTCAGTCTATGTCTTGACCCCTTACCCTGCATAAACGGATACTTCAGCAAGTAATTTATATAAATTGGTGCACAGTAATGAAGAACAATGTGTAAAACAAACTATTGACAAATTCCGTGTTAACAATGTATTGTTTACTTAATGATTTGGTTTTAAATCTGTGTGTGTGTGTTTGACTACTAATTTGATTTATTTGTTTATCTTACGTATTAAGAATTTTCTTTTCTTTTTCAGGAACTGATGGTGTATTTTACATAAGACTGGTCTTTGCAGTATCATCACTTGAGGCATATTTCTTCATGAAAAACCCTTTTTTATGCATATTCATCATTTAGACAGAAAAAAAATTAAGAAACAACCAAAATATACCAGTAAAGATTTTCCATTTAACTAAATATAGATAACCTTTTTTTATTTTTTTCATAATTGAATAATATTTCTCATCCTTCAAATCCCATAGATGACAAAAAGAAAGTTTCATTAATTAAATGGTGGTCAGTGTTCAAAGCAAAAACTTTTGTTCTCAGATTTTCAATTTCATTTTCAAAATCATGCTAAGTTCATAGTATTTCCTTATGAAGAACGATTTTTTTTTCTTTTGTTCATAGACTTGGAACTTTTGATTGGTAAATGTGCAACTGAATTCCTTCTTGATGATAAACTCTCATTGTGTCAAAATTAGTTTTTCTTCCCAAGTTGTTCATAAATACAAGAGTGTAAATAATACACCAGTTTTTCATTGGCCCAGTAAATTATGAATTTCTTCTTGCTATTTGTATCTGTCTAACATTGTGGTTTTATTTTGTAAAAAAAGAAAAAAAAAGTAGAATATCAAGTCCTTTTCTACAACAGTGGCTGAAGTCTAAAAGATTTTTTTTTTTTTTTTGAAAGATTTAATGATACATTTTTAATTTTTAACATTGTAATTTAATAAGATTCAGAATTATTAACGTACCAAGATTCTTAAATCCTGTCAAATTGGTGAATACTCGATGAATGATTATCTGCTCATATCTCTTTTTCAGTCAAAAATAAACTCTTAAACCACTAATTGATAAGCTTTGATTATTTGAAATCTTTTTATTGCAACTTTTATGGAGCATTTTTTTCTAATTGATTGTTTTTGGAAACGCATTCATTGAGGAATGGCATTTGGGGGTGGGTTCCATTTCCCCCAAAATTAAGGCCTTTTTCCAGACTAGGCTAAACTTAACAAATAATTCTACATTGAGTCAGGAATCTTTTCTTGTAGGATTTTGAGACAAGCAAAGAAAGAAAAGTCTTGATGGGGGCTCAGCAGTAACATTTTTTGTTTCTTTTCTTAATTTTTCTTGATGCCATTTTCTAGCTGACTTGCTGCAACAAGGAACAAAATGACAAACATGAAGACTTGAGAATCTTAATTGCAAATAATGTTGGATAGAAAGATATTTATTGTTCAGGCAGATAGAAAAATAGGCTGGAATATGGAAAGAAATGTAATGATGCTTTCCTTGCCTACATTCTGTTCAAATGCTGTAAAAATGATTAAATGAAAAAAAACAAATAACTGGAAATATGTAAAGAATGATAAGCGAAGATTATTTCTTTAAAAAAAAAAGATAAAGAAAAACTCCTGTAATTAATTAAAAGAAAACCTAAAAGTTAGACACAAGAAAAATAAAAACAATGCTCTGCATTCTTTTTTTTTTTTTTTTTTTTCATGTTTTCAGTTTTACAAGTTTTTATTGAAACTATTTTCAGAACACCATTATAAATATTATTGAATAATTGCATAAAGTCTGTGTTGAAAATTTTATGTCACCATTAAGTTAAGGATAATGTCTAACATTTGTGAATTAAACTGGAATTTACTTGTTTTCTTTTCCATGAACTTCTCATAAAAGTTGTTTTGTCAGATTATTTTTGCCTCTAACTTTGAAAGAGCCGTTAAACATATTACAACTTTAGGCTGGACAATTGTTTAAGATCTTTTTACTTGTTTAATCCTAGCAATTTCTGACATTTGATGTTTTTTTTTTTCTTTTAAAGGCTGAAATGCTGGCACAAATGTGGAATATATTTGAAAACATTTAAAAGTAGGTGAACAGTTTATATGTAGCATTGTTTAAAGACTCAACAGTCATTTCCCTTCCCTAAGTGATTTGCTTCCCAACTATTTTACTATCCATATACACACACACTTTGTTCAAGAAAAAAAATTAAAAAACCTTTATATTTTATTATAAATAGAAAGACTGGCTTACCTGGAATGAAATGTTTTATTTATATTTCAAGATAAGAAGTAGATGACAAATGTTTCTGGTTTTGGACAACAAAACCTTTTGACTTGAGAATATTAATGCTAAAAAATTATGATTTACTTTGATTCTAGTTTCAGAAAGCTAATTTATTAGTCAAACTAGATAGAGAATATGCACAGAATTCGAAAAGAGTGACTAAATAAGTCCTGAATCCATTTATAAACTGAAATATGTTCTGCTTTTGTCTAGAATATAAAACTTTCAAATTGATAATCACCATGAATATTTTTAAAAGCCAGTGGCCAAGTGAAAAAAAACAAATGGTTTAGTTCTTATTTGTATAATAAATCTCCTTCATCTCCTAATTTTTATTATAGCCACTGAAAACACATTGCTTTGCATCCAATAATTAATATTGTGTATTTGGGTTCTATTTATCTTTCAAAAGAAAAATGGTTTCTGTTAATTGCCAAAAATAAAGATTGGGTTTAACTAATATTTATTTTCCTTGATATTCCATATTCAGATTAAAGAATATTATATTCCCTTGACACACTTATAGAGTTGATGGTATTGCAACACCATGCTATAAAATTTGTTTCCCACTTCGTGCTCAATGAATTTGGCCTTGTGCCAAAGTTAACTTAGACATAAAACATATCTATTATCTTTACTGTAAAATTGACATACAAGGTGGACAATTTGGCCTTAGAATCTTTACAACTGAATTGTTTAACTCTCGATACTTGTTCATTAGATAATACCATATTGATACCAAACTATGTGTTAGACTAGCATATGAAATTTGTATGGGTGGGTGGAATTTTTAAAATCCAATTATATTTAGTGGGTACATATATTTGATCAGACATCCCTGTTCTTTTTTTTCTAAACAGTGAAATTTATATCTACCAGCCTCGGGATCAAAAGTCTTATTTAAAAAAAAATGTGCCTTCTAACAAGATTTGAACCTGTATTCCTGATTTTAATCTGAGAAATCACCAAAGATTGGGAGGTATATTTTCTTTAATAAGATTTTCTATCTCCAAGCCAGTAGATATTAATTTCATTATGAGCATTCTTAAATTTAAAACTTTTGAAAAACTAACATTTTTACTTTGGTTTATAAATACTTGTTGCTAAATAAAATACTTACATTTAGCTTGATAAATTCCATCAGAGGACGAAACATATTGGCTAAGATGAGTTTTTCCTTTTGTCTTTATTCACACACAGGAAGGAAACATTAATTTCAATAGAAACATTTTAGTTCCTATTAGCCTTTTTATTCTAAATATATCAAACTCAATTTGTCTTTTATTAAACTTTTTCCTATTGACAGAGTACAATTGATAAATTTGTTCTTCTCTAATCTTTACAGAAGTTATTTTTCTACAAGGCAAGGATTTCAGGTCTTTTATTTATCTTAAGTGTCAAATTAGTCACCTTGGATTTTCTGAAAATTGATATTCCGCTGGGGGTATGTAAACATCCCAATACAAAAATGCTTATAGTGTTACAATCAACATTAAATCAAAACTGAAGATATAATTATTTATTTAAATGAAAATTGTAATAAATTTGTTGTATAAACATGTTGTAAATTGTAGGTGAAATCCATCAATACAATAATAGAGAAAAGTTTTATTCATCAAAAATAACCAGATTATATTTCCATCAATAGAAAGATGTTACTAAGCTAAACTCATAAAGAACAGAAAGAATAATAATATATATCTTGAAAACTTATCTTTGTTAGTCAGGTGGAACAACAGGACATTCCAAAGAAGTCAAAACGTCTGCCTCCCATTAGGTGCTACATATCCATGCTGAGTCAGAAAAGTAATAGGAGGGAGCAGAAGAAACAAGTTTCCAATTAGAGATTAAAAATACTTTAAAAATTTGTAGGCAACAAAATGCCTCAAAAGAGCTCCTTTCTAATTAATATCTCATTCGCTAGTCTTACATTCATAAGAGAAAAAAAATAAACAAGACTGATGATTTCTATTGCGAAACATGATTAAGCTTTTATCTTTTTTTGAAGTCCCATGTTTTTTTATATCATCAAAATATTTTAGTAAAGGAATTCTAGAGTTATCCTCTAAAAATTTATTTAATTACATTTGAGAATTCCACGGCCATAGTGCAGATATAACTTAGCATTGATTATCTATTTATGTACAATAGCATTTGTTCACCCTCTATTTTGAATTTGAGGAGGCACGGTGGAGTAATGTATAGCGGCTTGGATTGAGGAATCGAAGGCGAGTTCAATTCAGTCGAATCCATTACATTCCTTTACGCTAACACCCTTGGGAAAGGTGTGAATCCTCTTTCTTCTCCCTCCAGCTATGGGTAAATAGCAGGACAGACTGGGTTCTATAGCCTTGAATGGCAACTGGTCTAGGAGAAGAAAACTCTGAATTCAAACCTGCTCTTAGATGAGGTGAATGGAGTCTCTATGAGCCTTGGTTGGCAATCCATTTTTTGAGTGATGGTGTCACGCTAAAAAAACACCCTAGCGAAGCATCAAAATTCAGCTATTTGACAAGATTATGAACTACACCAATCAAAATATTGGTGAGCTCAATCTCGGCTGAGGCCACAAGATGATGATTTTGATTTCAAAAAATATAATTTTTGTTGTATCCATGGGAGGAGAAGGTAGTTGACTATGTACTCCAAGTGTTTGTATGTAAACACTTCATCTGTGGGAATGAAACTCGTATATTGAACAGGTGAAGCATTACCTATTACAGGTGACTTACCAGAAAGGTCATATCTGATTGCTATATTTTAATCTCTCTCTTGTAAATCTTGATTAAGAGATTAAATGTTCAGGTTTAAAATTTTTTTTTTTTTTTTTAATATTCTTTATTCCCTTTCAGTTACAAATGCAGAGAAATGATTGTCTACATATTTTAAAAGAAAGTTATATTTTTTGCAATGATTTTGAATCTCTCAGACCTTTTAAGAGTTTCTGGATATCATTAATAAATTCCTTGAGGCTGCACCCTATTTGTTGAAAATTTGTGTAATTATTAGGGATCTTTCAATAAATGTTACAAAGATGAGTAAGGAAACTTTTCAGGATCTTGTTTCCTTGTGCATGAACTCACTTTCTAAAACCACCGATAAAAGCTGAACATGTTCATTAAACAATGGGACTATGCCATAGTTGGCAGAAACAAGGAATCTTTAAGTTTTCTCATCTTTCATTGATGACAATCTTTCCTGCATTTTGAACCTGGGCTTCAATCCGACTCCAAGTAGTGATGTGTGTGTGTCAATTTTCTATTCTATAAATGGGTAACAAACAAAATCAGAGCTGAGCTTTGAATATGCCCTACCCTACACCAAGTGTCATATATCATCACGGGCCTTTTCAATTTTATGACTGATCAGGAAGAATCTCTGATATTTTCCCACTAAAAGAACAAAGCGACAATGTGTCTATGACTTTTTTCTTTTGGCATGGGTTCTGCCTTAGTGAGAAAATCAGTCCTTTGACTCATTCTTCAAATTGTCAGGATCTTGTATGATGTGACATGAAAAAGCTTTTCATTGAAACCAGATTTGATTACACTTTTTGCCTTTTCTAGGCTCCATCATATCAAAAGATACAGAATGAATATTAACAGCCTTTTTTTTTTTACAAAGTCATCACGAGATATGTCGGTTTAGCGGAAAAATTACTAATGATTATTTAAGCATATTTCTTTCTTTTGTTTTTGATCTGACGAGGCCTAGAAAAGGCGAAATGTGTAATCTAGTTTTAACAAAACTTGAAAAATAATGCAAATATTGATGTTTGGCAACTTAGTAAAAAGAAGCATTAAAAGCTCAAATAAAATGAATAAACAATTTTATTTACAGAGATTCATTCTTCTGTCAAGATTTTACAAAATAATTACAAACAAATCACAATGAAAAATTAAAAAAAAAAAAATGAGTTGGCATGTTCAGGAAAGTTGAGTGGTTGAAACTTGGCTATGATGTATGAGTTTTTCAACACTTCCTTGAGTGCTGGCTGTAGTTGAATGGTCAGAACTGCTTCGCTGACTTGAATGACGGCTCTCGAGTAACGCTGCTCGATCGCTGCTTCTTGGTCTGGGTAATTTTGGCTTCTCTTGGTTGGTCGGCATAGTATTCGAACGCACCCGACTCAAATCCTGTGAGAGATCGGGCTCTAGGTCTCTGCTGCCCTGGGAACGTGGCTGGATCATTGATTTTGTACAGCCATGTCGGCCCTTTTTCATGCCCTGAAATACGACCTGAACATTCTGTTTTGGAACATCCGGGTCGGTGGCAGCAGTTACACGGCGAATGCTTCAATTGAAAAAGAAAATAAAGAAGTTTAGTTTGCTTTTAATATATGAAATTTTTATATTACAGAGCTTCTCAATGAAGAAATTACTCCAGCAACATAAAATGCATAACATTCACATTTTATGAACTTTTGAGAAATGTGTGTGTGTGTAAAATTTCAGATAGAATATATCTTTGAAAAAACTATGAATAAAGACAAAGGAAAATTTACCTTATGCTACACGTTTCATCTTCTGAGTAACATTATCTATTAGCATTGATAAAGTCTCTCAAATGACAAAGCATGTCAGCTAAGTTTTCCATTTGTCTTTTTATATATATATATATATATATATATATATATATATATATAAAGTAGTCATCTCAGGAGTCTACTAGGATGTCAAGCTATAATCCCTATTGCAGATGCCTGATCAGGCATTGTTGTTTTTGTTTAATATGTACAAAGCCAACCATGCTGAGTAGAGACATGAGTGCATAATTTGGTGTTATTAGTAGTTGTACAATGACTTGTAACTTTGTGCTAGGACAACCATTATGAGCAGTTTTCTCAACCCAATTTCAATAGAGGAATCACCTTTCTAGGCAAATATTATTAAGTAACCTTTTTGATTAAATTGACCCTGGTCAGATTCAAGCCCAGGTCACGTGGCCAGAATACTAATGTTCTAATTTACCTTGAAATCAAATTTCTTAGAAAATTTAGAAAGCTTTATTACTTGACGACTGTGTTCACAATATGAAATTTATAAAAAAAAGCAAAAGAAAAAATTAGTAATAAAATGTAACTTATCAAATTCTTGTATTCATTAAAGAAAATATCGGCATTAATCATAAAATGGCGGGGGGATACAATTTGTAAAGCAAAACTGGTTGAAATGAGTTCAAGTTCAAACAACTGCTTATCTGAAACAAAGTTAATCCACACAATTTCTACAGCAGTTCAAATCTTGCCATAGTTTGTTTTTTTTTTTTTTTCTTGTCAGTATCAAAAATATGTATTGCAAATCACAGAAGTGAGTTTCCAGGTGAGAAAAAGTGAATTTGGTATTTGAAGCCAATCATCTATGGTTAGTAGAATTGTGTTATATAAACATAAAAGCAATTGTCAGTAACTTACATTCATTTCTAAGTACAAGGCATAAAGATAATGTGAATTTTAACCGAGCCTGGAATAAGAGAAGTCAATTGTTCTCTGAAAAAAAGAGAAGGAATTAACATTTATATTGTCTTCTTCATTGATGTACACAAGTAAAATTCACTTTGTGGATTTAGTCAACAGAAGAAGAAGAAAAAAAAAGTTTTCTCTTCAAAGCCATCCAAGATTTTCTCTAGAGAATCAAACAGTAAAAACAACAAAGCAAGTAATGATAGGCAAATTAATGACATGACTTCATCGAACGAATGTTTACACAAAATATAAGTCCAATGAGTATCTAAAGGACAAAATGCATCATGCAAAACATTATTTTCTACCTTGTCATTAGCTTTCCTAACATACATACATATATATATATATAAAAAATTTATATTCTATAGCAATACAGACATTTAAAGATTTTCTGTTTTAAAACATTTGAATAAGGATTTGAAACTTAATTTACTTTCAAAAATTGAATAAGCAGTTTTGTTGGAATTTCTTTCTATTTAAACATCTTTAAAAAAAAAAATTACACTTTGAAAATTTTTCCAATTATTCTACTTTGACAAAATAAAATTGTTCACGAAATTTGAAATCATTGGCACAAAACAAATTTGTTTAGTTTTCACATTTTTTTTTCCTTTTGAAAAATAAGGGTTATCTTCAGGAACAAATTCTTTGATCTTTACATTAAAAAGAAACTTGATAAACTCTGCTACTGTTCACCTTTGGCTAAAAAGCAAACCCTTATGAATTTTATTGCAATGCAAGTAATCTAACATTGCCTGAAAAATCTCAATTAAATTTATGCAAAAAATCATTTTCTTCATGTCTAAATTTAGTTTCAAGTTAAAACCAGAATAAATTTATTTACTAATGAAATATTTTTATCTGGCAAAATTTTAAAATCAAAGATAACTTCATAATAAAAAAAAAAAAAATATAGACATTTTTAATTTTCATTGAAGTTAAAATAAACTTGGCCACCAGCTGATCCCCCTTTTTTATAGCCTACTGTTTGATCAGCTTTTAAATGGTTGGTGGCTGAACAAAATAATTTCACAAGCATAGATCAAGGCAAGAGCAACCCCCACCACACAAGCACAAGCTGGAGAACTGATTAAAACACAATGATAAAAGAAAGAACCAAAATAAAAAATAAAAGACCATAAAGTGATAAATAAGCAATAAATGGTGAAAATTGTCCACAAAGAGACACTGAAAATATATCAATGACATGATGAAGTCTGTCTGCATTCTTCAATCGTCAATCTGGGTATGCAACAATGGAATGAAATGGAAAGGATGTAAGCATCCAAATATTTCTTCCATAATTCTTGACAGTATGAATCTGGGAAGGAGGAGGGAATTGTTTCAAATGCTTCTGGTTCGGAACAAATTAAAGAGGTTAGAAATAAATACAAAATAGGCAAAAAAAAAAAAAAACAATATTAGTTTTCAAGTTAATTGCATTAAAGAAGCTGAAAGCCAGACGAAACATTTTCATTTTTTTTTTTTTTATGACAGCCACATAAACTTCCAAGATTTAGTGAATTAATCATGCAAAAATGTTTTGGAAAAAAAGATTACCTCAAAAAAAAAAAAAAAAAAACGTTTAGTCAAAATCTCAAAAAATGTTAATCTTGCAGATCAATGGGAAATTTATCATGTCTAAAGCATTTTTAGCTAATAGAGGTGATAAAATTAAGACATTGGCCATTTTTATAAGTACTATCCCTAAGTAAACAACCCTATCTACTGTTGTTTTGAATTCACAAATATGCAGAGTGTCCCTAAAATCGGGACACAGAAAATCACATTAACTATATTTATTTTACCACCACAGATTAAATCATGGTTTTGTCGAAAGAAGAAAGAACTGACTTCTTCATCCGGGGTATGGCTAAGGAGGGGAGTGTACTCACGGATGTAACACTTGATTAAAGAGTGAATGTGCTAAAATTGACAACAATGTAGAGTTATTGCATCAAGTTCACATGAATATCAAACTTTGAATCACAAATGATGGAAATCATATTAAAGATGTTATTTGTTAATATTCCATTGTTGAAAATTTCATTTCTTGAAAATATGCATTTTTACTTGTGTGTCCAGACTTTAAGGACACACTGTATTTCAGTTAAATTTTAGTTGACAAGCTATAAACACCAGATATTGAACCAAAGAGCCTATGGCTTGAAGCCACCTCCTAGAAAACATGAATAAAATCAAATTATATTTTAATAAATTTAAATGAAACTTACATTTAATTTAAAAAAAAAAAAAAGGTAAAACAATTTAAAAGGTAAGTCAAAGGCTCTGTCCATTACTGATTTAAACCAGTGGTTCCCAAATAGTGCGGTGCAGCAGAAGATGATAGCAGGTGAGGCAGAATGATTGAAAGACAAAGATTTAGTTTCAAAACTGTTTCAAAAAATTCATATGCCAAAAATAAATAAGATTTCAAAATTTAAAATATTATTATGGATTACTTGTAATTGCATGCATGAGTCCCATTATAAATAATTATTAACTGGTTTTATCATTGCGATATTTTTGCATTATATCAACTATTAAGAATATAGTAACTACGGTCTGCAAACTGGAGGAGAGAGTTATCAATGATAATGTTTTGACTTTGAATCTACGGTTATCTCCCCTTAACCCTCTCTCTGTCTTTTGGGGTTTTTTTTTAATGAACTTTTTATCACATAAAATTTGGTGAGGCAAAAGCAAATTTTCATTCAAAAACTGCAGCCCAAAGAAGAAAAAAAAGTTTGGGAACCACTGAACTAATATCACTATCTTTCTTTTCTTTTTAAATCGTATATTTTCCAGTCCCAATGAAATATTATTCTGTATGCTTAAAACATTTTAAATTAATCATTTTTAATGCAGAGAGAATTTAATACTTTTTTTTTCTTTCTTTTTCGTCTTCTGTGTAACAAGCACGAGGAAGAAAAAGAAAAGAATGATTGGTAAAGATGAGGCTATGAATGGAAACAGAAAGAAATTGAATGCAATAGAGAAAGTGAAAAAGAACGTTCAACATGTAAATATGGTGAATAATTTTGGTCAGAAATGATGGGGGGGTGGAGATTGAGGAAGAGCAAATGCGTCCTTGTAGACGAGATTAATGATCTTGAGCCAAGTTCTTTTGAAATTAAGACAAACAATACAATGGCAACTAAAAAAGCTAAAACAAAAGAGGGGGGAGGGTTCTGAACTGTAGCACATTAATGGCTAAGACTTCTATGGCAAAAGGTAATGTGACATTTGTAACTAACAACAAAAGCAGAAACATGACAGACAACAGCAGCACAACTACGACATACTCTCCAACATGTCACGTTGATTTGGGAATTGTCTACAATTTGTGTTCAATCTTATCTTTCAATTAGAAATCAACTTGCCATTCGGAAATAAGTCAACCCCTTTTAGAAAACCTATTTCTAAATTACTTTTAAATAGTTTTATTGTTGTTATGTGGTTAGTTTGGCACAAGGCCACGAGTGTAGAGCATCCAATGAGAAACAAATCACACTATTAATGTATAAGTCCAGCTTGCTGACCAATATACATGACGAGGTAACCTAAACAGTTTTAGTACCAATGTTATTTCAAATAGAATTTGTTTTTTTTTTTTTTAACCATATTTAATTCAGTCCAAGACCAAATTTTGATAAATCTAATCCCCCCATAGGTGATTAAAACTCCACCAAAAAGACGACCGGTTCGAAAGGACCCACATGCAAAAGAATGCTGTTAATACTGTACAGTCTTAGCTAAAATTGATTTTTATTGCAAATAAGACTTTATTTTAATGCTCTTTCTTCTAAACCAGCAGAATAAATTGATA